CCAGGCTGGCCTCGAACTCACAGAGATCCGCCTGGCTCTGCCTCCCGAGTGCTGGGATTAAAGGCGTGCGCCACCACGCCCGGCGGACATATAAACTCTTAATGATTATGATAACATGCATAAGACCTGCAAAAATTCAAGCCAGATAAAACCCTGGCATGGAAGAATGGAGGTGGATGTGAAGTCCCATCTCTGCCCCAGGAACTTTTGACATCTGATTGCTGCTGGGAGAGGGAGAATCAGCTTTCTTTAATGGTGTGGTACCTGGTATATTGACTGATCCCACACCAGGGCAGGCCTCATGCTCTGGAGGATTAGATCAACACAAACTGGACTCAATGGGGGAGAGCAAAAGAGAGTGAGAGAAAGAGAAAATTAGGGAGGGATACATATGATCAAAATTCACTATATGATATTCTCAGAGAATTATTGTTTTGTTTTGTTTTAGGAAGGCACTTCGTTAACCAGAACAACAAAAACCACAAACAAACTTGTCTATTTTGAGAGCTGCAGTCTGAAGACAGGGAAGACACTTTCCCCAGAAAGACTAATATACAGAGGAGGATGGGGCTTTTCCATTTCTGTCTCTTTTTTTCCTGTATACAAGGACTCAGAAGTATCAGTCATTCCTTCATGGGGCTACACTTTAACACTTCAGGAACAAAAACTCAGTACTGTTGCTGTTGTTGCTACTTTGCTGTGCTTTGTTTTGTTTATTGAGACAAGGCCTCACTTTGGAGCCTTGGCTGGCCTGGAATTTATTAGGTTGTCCATGCTCACCTCGAACTCATAACGATCCTCTTATCTCAGTTTCTCAACTATTGGGATTCCAGGCACAAACCAACATACCCCACCTTATTATTATAATTATTTATACCGACTGCCATCTACTTCATATACTGTAAAATTATTTAAGAGATACCACATTTTATTTGGATAAAATATATGTAATACAAAATTTAATTAGGTGCACAGGACAGCAGCATGAAATACATTCACTTTGTCAATCATTGCTATCAATAACCTCCAGAACCTTTTCATCTTTCCAAACTAAAAATTTCCACCTACTTTTTAAAAAAAGCCTTTATGCTCCTGGATCCCAGAATCTGGCGACCATTTACTTCACTCTGTCTTTCTGGATTTCACTATAAAAGCAATATAACTTTGGATGCTAAAAGAAACAGAAGGATGTTAAGGGAAGGAGAGAGAGAGCAAGAAAAGAGAGGTAAAGAAAGCCACTTTGTTTAGTATCTTCATTTGTGCTAGGAACACTGACCAACAGTAGCTGCGCTCTCTCCTTTAGACCCTGCTCCTATTTAGAGAGGCTGGATCATGCAAAAGGGTGAGTGACTGCAGGGCTCACAGAGCTTGAGAGGGTGGAAATGAGGTTGAAATTAGGTTCTAACTTGTGGTAGAGTGCTTGTATAGCATGTGGGAGACCCTCGTTTCAATCCTCAGTATGGAGAACAAACAGTTACAACTGGGGTTTAAACCTTGATTAAAGGAAACCATCTCTCGGCTCTTCTGGTTATCTAAGATTTTTACTTTTCTTTGCAATACCATTTCTGAGACTGGTCTGGCTGAGGGAATAGCCTGAGGCCAGGGTGCAGTTCTCTATCAGCCTTCACCCTTGGTTTCCCTGAAGTTCAGCGGGAGGGCCGTTTTTAGAACAGTTCATCTCCTCATGGCACAGCAGGTTTCTTCCCTGTCACTCTGGGCTAGTCAGTGTCTGCACTGCATGTGAAAATGGAATAGGGCAGAGGCAAACACGACTCCTCAGCAACTCCACTGGCTAAAATTGATGGGTGTGTGAGCCTACTCAGTTCCCTAAGACACCCTATAGCAAAGGGTACCTGATCCTCTCTGTCCAGCCTAGATGTCACTGCCAAGGCAGCACCCCAAGGACCAGATCTTATGATAGTCATTCTATTAGAATCCTTTAGTAGCTCATGAAGACCAAATTCCTCAACATGAAAGCTTTATTCCTCAGCAACTTTCCACACCCCTAGAAAACCTCTGGCTCCCTTTGCTCTACTCTGTTCTCCCCCATCTATTGCTTTCATAGTCCATTTTGGCTGGCATCCTTTCAGTAAACATGACCACATCCATATACAGATATACTATGCAAAACATGTGACCCAAGTCTTCTCTCAATAGACCCAACTTCAGGCGACCTGGTACTGAGACCACCACCCACCAGCTTGTGACAACATTCTTGACTTAGCAACTACAGGTGCCTGCTTAGGGATAGCAGCCCAGCACTACCCCAGCCCTCAGCCCTCTAAAGAAAACATTTTCTTCCTACCTTCACACATGACAAGGTAAGACAGGCTTAATTCCATAGTGTTTTCAGCCCCAGAGAACAGCTGACCAACCTCAAGAGTGCCTGATTTGAGATGGGCCAATGAATCCCTTTCTTGGGCTCTTTTAGACTTAAAACCAGGAATGCTAGGGTTATATCTCCCACTGAGTAGGCGGGGACGGGGGGGGGGGGGGCGACGACGACGACGGGGACGGGGGGACGGGGGCCCGGGATAAAGCAGCTCTACAAAGAGATCTGAGGAAGGGGCTGCTGATTCGGTGAGGAGTGGCAGTACCAGATGTAGGTTCTGTGATATTGCTCAATCTTTAGAGCCAATCCCTTGTCTGTAGAGAGTTGTGATTCTACCATGTAGAAACACCAGTCTGGACCACACCTGGGTGATACTGAAAGCAGCTGGTGTTTATTATCTAGAAGACTGGCTGAGACAAGAGGAGTCAAGAAGTCAACACTGCTGAAGTCCAGAATAGTTCTAGTTCAGCTTCCGGCTCTTGGGAGCTCTGTGATCTCAGATGTGAAGAAGCTCATGGGACCTCAGTTTTCTGACCATGGAAATGTGGACAAGGTGTCAATGTGATAAGCAAAGACATCTACAGCTCCTAGGAGGCGGTGAGCCCCCACCCAGGATAGCCGCTTCTGCACTCACCCAAGGCTGTCATGAGCCAGGCTCTGAGCTAAGTGCTCTGCTAACACCTCACAGTCTATAGCAATCAGAAAAGCAGAGCTTCACAAAGGAGCAAGGCACCAAGAACTGAAGTTGCCTTTCTAAGGTCACTCAGCCAAGGTGGCATTTCTAACATAAAATCCTCTAAATATCCTTTTATTAACTTCCCCATACCATCTTCTGAAGCACTGGACACAGGCAGGCCCAGGCCTGCTGGATGTACTGTATTTCAAAAAGCAAGCACAGAACTGGGGCTTGGGGCTTATCCAGCCTGGAATTTCAGAATTCAGGCTAAGCAAATTCTGTTGGAAACTCTAGTACATCATGTGTGTCCTGACATGATAGTCTCCACGAATTTGGGGTCATAAATAGTCAAATTAAGATGAAGCTCTTAAATTCTTTGCAGTCCTGTAAGATGCTTAATAAACACTACAAAGCTGAAGAGCTGAAATGCCTGAGGCATACAGACTCTTGCACTTTGGGAATGATTTAAGACCCTTCTCAAAAGTAAGCTGTCCCCAAATGTCAACCCCACTGTTTCCACAGGGTTCAACCTTTCAGATCTGTAATAAGAGTATTAGGGAAGATCCTAACCATGATCCAGAAGCTCAGGATATCAGAGAGACAAGGTCCCAGAACAGCATCTCTACACTAAGTGCAAAAGAAAGCACCCAACGGCAGCAGAGGTTTACCTGAGCCTGGCCTGAAGTGGGGCCTAGTTAGGTGTCCTGGCCTCCTCCTTCCCTGTGGAGTTTATCCTTACCCCAGCTCTACCTAACGAGCTGACTTGTCTGTACCTTCTACAGAACTGAAAAGATTACAAGAATGTGATCATCAATTATTTTTCTCTCATGAGTTTAAAGTGCTGAAATTTAAAACCCCTTGGTAATAAAACAAGGTAATGATTTTTTTTTTTTGCTTTAAAAATAAAACTTGATTTGAACTTCTAGAGAGGCATTTATGTTTTTTAAAATCTTCGGGGTTTCAGCTCATGATTTTCTGTGGGCAGGAGAGGTCTGTGTCTAGCTTTTCTGGTTTCCGATAGGCTTTTCTGTGACGACAGAGACAAGTCTCCACATCCATTCACAGCAGTTTTTGCACCCCCACCTGCACACTAGGCTGGCTGTTGTGTTCCTCCTATGCCTTTTAACTTCTTTTTCTTTACTGTGGTGCTGGTGATGGAACCCAGGGCCTCATACATGCTAGGCGGGAGCTCTACCACCAAGCTACACTCCCAGTCCACTTCCTATGCCTCTGTGTTTCTCCTTGCCTTCAACTCCTTGCCATAGTCATTGAAAGCCAAGAAACAGAAGGAAAATCATTCTGTCTACAGGAGAATGGTGTGCTGAGCTGTTGGAAGGATTGCTGTGCTTTCTCTCACATCGGAGTCCTTTTGTTTCTACCCTTGGGAAACCATAAAAGTAGAAAACAGAGTTGGCAAAGTTAATGAAATTTATGTTGTGAAAAAGGAGGAAGAAAAAAGAAAAAGAGGAGGAAGAGGAGGATTCATCACATCTCCTCTACCAACCCATGTTTAAAGCAAACATAAGCCATCTTCCTCTGTCTGGCCCAGTCATCTTTATTAATGATTGTATTCAGATGCCAACTCTTAAGGCAAACAAACAGCAAATATGTGCTGCCTTGTCCAGTCCTCCCAGCCCTAGCCTTGCCCAACAGAAAGAAGTTGCTGCTCTCAGGAAGGTAGAGCCACATGCTAAGCTCCTAGTCCCCCACATTCAATAACCATTTCATGAAGAGTAAACACAGAAGTGCTCCACGATTCAATACATATCTAAGGTTTCTATTCCCTTGGCTTCATAGACCAACAGGCCAAACCATATAAAACTCACCAAGTAAACCATGGTTCAGTTGATTCAGGCAGTGAAGGAAACAGTTTGATTCTGAGTGACCTCAACAAATGCCTGTCACTAAACTGTCTGAGGACAATAAAGGTTATACTTTGGGCCCTGTTACAACCCATTTATAGACACAAGAGATGGAGCCCCACAGGGCTGGGGAAAACAAATGAAGCCAGTAAGCTGAGCATGGTGCAGCAGCAGCTTAAGCACAGCAGAAGCAAACGGCATATTTGAAGCAGACACCTACAAGGAGAGCACTGTTCCTACACTTTGGATGTAGCTGGCACTTCTCCTAAGAAAACACTAACTCTCAAGAGAGTTACTGCTCCTAACCATCATTAAACAGCTCTGGTCAACTACTGAAATGATGAAGTGTCAAGGCTGAGCCACCTCAAACACCTTGATTCAACTTAGTGAACCATAAACCAAACAGGCTATAATTAGTTTTAGTTTTTCTCCTCCAATGAAAGGGCAGGAAAACTTGACAAGAGTTGTGGAGCTTCTCAAAAAGCAAATTAGGCTTCTGAGGGTCTCCATGACCAAAGACCTTTTAGGAGTGGTTGGCAAGAAACTCTTTACATTTGGTGAGGGCTCCCTGCACCAATGCCACCTCTTCTCTGGCCTGAATATCCAAGAGAGCCTCAGCTTCCAGGAACAGGACTCAGTTGTCTTCCCAGGGTACACAGATCTGGAGCTTTGGGGACCATAAAATGTCTAGACAATAAGACGACTCTTGGGGACTACCTTTCCCTAACCAAAACTTCAAATTACTTTCATAAAACCCTTTCTTTTAACAAAATGATCCACTTTAAAACAGATTATGACCTATCAGATTAAAAGTTCCTGAAAGATGGATTTCCAAAGCAAATTTATTTCTATCTTATACTGTAGTCAGAAGTTATACTGACCTTAGCAGCTAAAAAGCTTTTGCTTTGTTTGCTAGTGCTTCTAAATGTGTGCCAACAGCCAATAGTGGCACATGAGGCACCAGGCATTGTATCTCACCTCATCTCCTAGTCACCTGTGAGGTAAGTTCTAATGCAGGGTCATAATTACTGTCCGCTGTTCTGAAACCAAGGAAACTCTAAATTCTAGGAGTTTTTTCATAACGTACTTGGCAACAAAAATTAATGAACCTGAACTCATTTGGAGGCAAAGCAGCTGCAGGCTAACAGGAGGCTATTTAGAGTTTAGTTATCCCACTTAATGTGAATATCCATATGATTTGCTACACACATAAAAATATGTGTGATTACTGAGTATGGCCCTAGGTCCCCAAGGTTACTTAATAAATACACCTTAATACTTCCCCAAACTTCCCAAATCTTAGGTCTGAAACATCTGGCCCCAAAGATGTAAAATACAGTACTATGGTTTCTAGTATCAACCCATTTCACAGATAAGAAGCTGAGTGAGACTCTTAGAGAAAGCAATTTGCCCAAGGCCATGCCGCAGGCAGGGGTAGAGCAGACTGGAAATGCTATGCCAGCATGACTCTTCTCCAGAACCAGTTATTTGACACTCAGGGAAACACTTCAGTGAAAACCCCAACCATAATGGCAGTGACACAGAAGGTCTGGTGCTTACCTTGCCCAGTACAGTGAGACATGGTTTGGGGTCCAATTCTGGCTGTTCGAGCTTCACCACTCCTACCCAGCCATATTCATACAAGTCCTCTTCATCATTGTTATTACACAGGCCCAGTGGGTGCATCTAAGAGACAAAGTGGAAAGAAAATGTCAACAGGCTGACCACAGACTGGCTTGATTCCCTTTGTGCATTTCTCATTGTATACTAAGCCAAAGCCACCTCAAAACTTTAAACTTTAAGGCAGGGATGGATTTTCAATCCACAGGGAATTCCATTTCATTACCATGAACTGAGCACTGGGGAGAACACAAAACTACTAGAAATAGATATTATAAGGCCTGGAGAAAGAACTTAACAGTAAAGAGCATTGGCTGTTCCTTCAGAGGACCCAGATTTAACTCCCAACATGCACATGGTGGTTCACAACTGTCTGTGACTCTGGTTCCAAAGGATCTGATGCCCTCTTCTGGCCTCCATAAGCACTAGCCCTGCATGTGCTACACAGATACATGCAAACAAAATATTCAGCCCCATAAAAATTAAATAAAGATATATATGCATATATGCACACATTCATGTGTGTGCACATTTGTGGATGCATATGAAGGCCAGAGGTTGATGTCAAATGTCTTCTCAATCTCTCTCTCTCTCTCCACCTTATTTTTTGAGACAGAGTCTTGAAGTAAACCTGGAGCTTTTCAATTCGGCTAGAGTGGCTGGCCAGTAAGTCTTGGGGCTCCTCCTGTCTCTGCCTACCCAGTGCTGGGATCATGGGTGTAGATGACCACACTTGGTTTCCACACGGTACTGAGGACTGAATTCCAGTCCTCAGGCTTGCACAGCAAGCACTTTATGGACTGAGCCAAGTCTTCAGCCCCTATAGATATATTTTATGGGTGCTACCTCTCTGCCTTGGAAGTAATGCTTGTCCCAAGATGGAAGCTACCTAACAAGAGGTAAGAAGAGAAAGAACCTCATATAAATGGCAATCTAAATTGCTATAAAATATCATAAATCTAACACTAAGCAATCATAAATGAAACTAACCAGGATAGTATCCCGTTTGGCTTCTAGATCTCAAGGTCACATTAACTTACCTATGAGTGCCAAGAGACACATTCAGGACTTTATGAGAGAACTGGGAATGTGGCAAACTATCAATATAATTAGCAGGCTAGTTAAAGACTACAAATGGTTATTGGGAAATAGATGCCATTCTTGGAGGTCTTTTCGAAATCTACACAGCACACACACACACACACAACGCCGCCCCCCCCCCCCAAAAAAAAAAACCAACTAGGTAGAGGAGCATCAGCTTATTTTCTCATATAAAAGTCTGGAAACAACAGAAATTCCTAAGGTCTATTCTCACAGTTCTAGCATTGACTTGTATCAGGCTATTCTGTTGTAATTTCTTCCCAGGTTCCTTAAGACACAATAAGTTCTAAAAGAAAGCATATTAAAACTCAGAACTTCTAGGGCTAGAGATCTGGCTCAGTGGTTAGGTTACTTGTTGCTCCTACAAAGGACCAGGGTTTAACTCTCAGCATCCACACAGCAGTACACAATCATCCTTAACATAGTTGCTGGGGATCAACATCCTCTTCTGGCCTCTGTGGATATGCACATGGTTTAAAACATAGATATACATAATATAAAATAGGTCTTCAAAATAATAAAAAAAAAGACTCAGAGGTTTTAAAGGCAAGAACATTAAGATTCAGGATAATCTTTAGAGTCTCAGGAAGTCCATGAAATTGACCAGATGCACAAGGCACCTCCCTCTCTAAGCTTATGTAAGTCATATAGACTACCAAGGACAAAGAGATCAACCACGCTGCCTAGAAGACGCAGACCTGCCAAGCTTCCTGTAAGAGTCCCAGACTAGCTAAATAGCCTGACAAAGACACTTTTTTTTTTAAAAAAAAGATTTATTTATTATGTATACAGTGTTCTGTCTGCATGAATGCCCGCAGGCCAGAAGAGGACACCAGATCTCATTACAGATGGTTGTGAGCCACCATGTGGTTGCTGGGAATTGAACTCAGGACCTTTGGAAGAGCAAGCAGTGATCTTAACCTCTGAGCCATCTCTCCAGCCTGACAAAGACAGTTTGACCAGGTGAGTTGCCTGCAAGTCAAGCCCTGTGCTCCAGGATTCCAGCTTTTGTCAGCCATCATCCATGCTGGGGTGGCTTTGGTGATGCAGCTGTCTTTAAGTCATTCCTGCTCCTGTAAGTGGGACCAATAAATTCACTGGTTTGCCAACATGGACCTAAGTGGCATTTGTGCTTTTGGTCTGTCCCTGATTCTCTACCGGGGGTGAGCAGACATTTGTTTAAGACTCTCTAAGGAATAGTGTAACACACCACAGGCTCCAGAACCCAAGAGCAATCTGGAAAGAGAAAATTCTCATAATTTTACAAGTTATAAGCCTAGCTTTTAATATTTATTTTTTTATTTATATGTGTACAAGTGGTTTGCTAGCATGTACATCTGTGCACTCGGTGTGTGCTTGGTCTCCTCAGGTCAGAAGAGGGAGTCGGATCCCCTGGAACTGGAGTTACAGATGATTGTGTGCTACCATGTGGTGCTGGGAGTTAAACTCAGGTCCTCTAGAAGAGCATCTAATGATCTTAACTGCTGATCCATCTTTCCAGTCTGATGTGCTAAACCCTTCAGTTGAAGAAATATATTTAGGTTAGTATTAAGCACCTTCTAGGACACACCTTTAATCCCAGCACTTGGGAAGCAGAGGAAGGTGGATCTCTGTGAGTTTGAGGTCAGGCTGGTCTACAGAGTGAGTTCCAGGACAGCCAGAGCTGCATATATAGTGAGACCCTGTTTGTGGAAAAACAAAACAAAGAACCTTCTAGGTTCCACTATAGAACCCACTATAGATAGGATAATAGCTCCAAAGTCATCCATATCCTAACCTTCAGACATAGGAATTTACCTTACACAGTAAGACACTCTGGCAGATGTGACTAAGCATGATGAGATGAAGATTTCCTGGACTCTCCAGGTAGGCTAGTGTATCAACATCAGTGTTGTTCTAAGCCCGCAGACCTGTAATAACTTGTAGTAGCAAATAGAAAGCTAATGCATATTATTCCTTACTTATTTTACAGGTGAAAACAAAAGTTCAAGGTAAATGACCTTGTTTTCCAAGACAACATAGGCAAGCAAGTACACTCAGCCCAATGGTTCCGCGGTGACTTCCCACTCTACCACTTGTTCTGGGCCCCTTCCTCTGAGAGCTAACCATCTGAGACAGAAAACACTAAAAGAGAAAAATCTTCAGAAAAAAAAAAGGTTTCTAGCTTTAAATTGGTTCTAGTCTAGGGCAATGCGCTATTTAATGTGGGCAGCAAGAGGAGCCAAGCTGCTGAGAGTAGGAGGTGTGTGTGAAGCTGCAGGGCCTCGGAACAAACTCTGAAGGAAGAGTAGGACTAATCATTCCAAACTTGGCAAAGAGGTGCAAAAGACAGAGAGGAAGAATGAGACCAGACTGACCAGTCATATAAAAAGTCATAGTCTACAACAAAACAAAGAAAAGGGCTTAAAAATTAGAACCGAGTTTGGATATCAAGATAGTATTAGAGTTTCAAGCAGTAAATGCCACCCTGAAGACAAGCAGCACTGAAGCAAATGGGTGACACACTTTCCATGCAGTGATATGCCTGATCTCCAGAGATGGCAATGGGAGGACAGACAGCCTCGAGATTCTTGGACTCCAACTTCTATGCAATAGTGTGAAAGGGATTGCGGAGTCCACGGGGCAAGTGAGAGTCTGAGGGTGCTAAAGGGGCTGTCAGCAGCTGTCTCTGTAGCTAGTGAGTACCCACCCCTGGGAATTCCCTATTTCCTTGTGAGTCCTCATTTCAGTTTTTCCTGTAGGACCAGTGAGGGTTCTGCAGCAAAGCACACAGTACAACCTTGTCTTTAGGAGGCCCCTGTAGGACCTAGCCCATCCTGAAATGTCCTATGTATTAAATCAAAGTAGCCTAAAATGCCAAGCCCTCCTACAGCAGAAGAGGATGAACAAGGATCACCAAGTTGTACCAACAATTCAGTCACCTATGACTTTCAGGAAAAGGTGAGACTTAGCTAAACCCAGCCCAGCTTCAGCTTCCCAAAGTCTCAGGTCAAGTCACTGCAATAGCAAGTACATTTGTGACACTGTTTTACTGTATTCCATGGAACTCCTACTCATGTGGGCTGGAGGTTTCCAGACAACCACATTGTTACTTTAAACACCTATGGGGTTTGGTCAGTGATAGAGAACAGCTTTGAAAGAGCAGGGGAATGCAGACCTAAGAGCTGGGTCTTGTCAAAACTTCACTAAAGAGAACCCAACAGATACGGCAAAACACGCATGAGTCCATTAATATAAAATGTTAATAATAATCATAATAAGGCAAATAAAGAGACTGA